CATGCTCAGGGCTGGCACAGAGGGACTGAGCAATCTTGGTTCTGATCATGCTATCGCCCTCTTCAGATTCCCAGTTAAGGAGGGACCTAGGCACCCTAAAAGCCACTTCAGACAATGTCACGTCCAACACAAAGGATGAACTGCAGGCCCTGATCTCCAGGGGTGAGTTGGGCTATGACCAGGTTCTGGGCAGCAGTGACTGGGTAGGGAGGACAGAGTCCTGAGCTCCAGTCCCTTGTTCTGCAGGTGACAGCTTGCAAGAGAAGATTAACTCTCTGAAAGTGGAGGTAGATGACCACAGGCAAGAACTGCTGGCAGGTGAGAAGCCCTGGTCTCTGAGTGTGCAGAGGGTGTGGGTGAAAGGGGTCCCTGGTGCTGAACTGTTGTCTTCCAGGACGAGGCTTGAGCCAGAACATTTCTTCTCTGGAGAGCACAGTGGAGAAAAAGGAACAGCAATTCAAAACAGGTTAGACCTCATTTTCCTGTACTCTGGGAGGAGATGAGTGTGTATAGTTCCTAGACTGAGCCCTGTGCAGGCCGTCTGAGTACCAGAGACACACCAAGCAAATATCACAGCAGAGCACTGTTCTCACTTCCACCTGTGTGTCCCAGGTCTATCTGAAATAACGGAGCGTGTCCAAGAGCTGGGGAAGGACCTGAAGGCCCTGTCATGCCAGCTGGCCAGCCTCAAGAACAATGGTGAGGATGTCCAGGCGCATAGTTGGCTCCAGTTAGGGGCGGGGGTGGGGAGATGGCCATTAGGCAACACCTCTGTTTTCCATCCTCCCCTCTCTTTTCACAGGCTCTGCAATGGCCTGCTGCCCTCTTCACTGGGTGGAGCATGAAGACAGCTGCTACTGGTTCTCTCAATCTGGGAAGTCATGGCCTGATGCTGACAAATACTGTCAGCTGGAGAATGCTCACCTGGTGGTGGTCAACTCCATGGCGGAGCAGGTGTTGTATGAGTTGCCTCTTTGGAGAGGGGCTCTCTGGTCTCAGTGACAGATGACCATACTCTATTTTTTTCATCAGAATTTTCTACAGGGTCGATTATCCAACATGATCACTTGGATGGGCCTAACGGACCAAAACGGGCCCTGGCAGTGGGTGGACGGAACTGATTTTGAGAAAGGCTTTAAGTGAGTTTGCATTGCACATCTGTCCTCATCTAGTGGCCTTTGCCTGGGACCACGTCTTCTCCTGAGGCTTTGGCTGTGGGGTAGGTGGTAAAGTCTGGGGATGGGATTCAGAGTCTCTGGAGAGTCACACCTGCATCTACTCGTAGGCACTGGGCCCCAGAGCAGCCGGATAACTGGTATGGGCACGGGCTTGGAGGAGGAGAGGACTGTGCCCACATCACCTCTGATGGACGCTGGAATGATGACGTCTGCCACTGGGTCTGTGAGACAAAGCTGGCCAAGGATAGTTAGGAGCCCTCTCCACTTAATTTATTTCTCCAGTGTCAGTGCCTTCAGCTGCTAAAGCCTGGGATTTGGAATCCTATCCAGTCTCGACGTTCTTGGGGATTTTTTTTTTAATTGAGAATTTTAAGGCAAGGAGAAAGGACTATGTTTGAGATGGGTAGTGTGGGGTTCAGAAGAATGAGGTTATTGCAATCTGTGATATTTTGTGCAGTGTGTAGCTCATTATAGCCAATTGTTGAATGTTAAAAAATAAATACTTTTTGTTGATTTTGGTGTTGTCTTATTCATATCAAAATTGGATAACAATATAAAAAACTATATAGAGGACATTTGTCATCTTTGACTAAATAAAAGCAAACTCAAAATGTTAATGGGTAGCCTAATGTCCCCAAAAGACTTATAGAAAGCAATTAACATTCTGATTGAGTTCCCAAGAGCTCCATGTTCAGTAACTGTATGGGGGACTGTGTCTGCCTATTAAGAAAATGTATGAAGCTGATATTGTGTCTCATGTTAGTAATTTCAGCCCTGGGGAGGCAGAGGCAGGAGGATCATCGCTAGTCTGGGCTCCACAATAATTTCTAGGTCACCTAGGGCTACATGGTGAGACAACATCTCAAAACTAAAACAAGAGGAACATTTGTGAATTATCTCAGGGAAAGGAAAAGTAAAGAGTTGTCATTTTGTGTTCAAGTCACTGGAAGAAGAAGGTGAAGAACATACCTTTTAAGATTTGTGTTCTGGGCTGGCGATATGGCTCACCTGGTGAAGGTGCTCGCTGCCAAGCCTGGTGACCTGAGTATGAACCTGGTACCCACATGGTGAAAGGAGAAAACCAACTCCTGCAAGTTATTCTCTGACCTACAAACCTCCCCCCCCACACACACACCATGTTCTGACTGAGGATCTCAAGAGCTCTCTGTACCTCTCTGTGCCTCTAAAGGGTCTGTAGGCACAGTTAAGAAGTCATAGATGCAAGACCATTTTTCCAGACTTCTGGTTACATGGTATTTTGTTTTGTTTTGAGACAGGGTCCCTCTATGTAACCTTGGGTTACCTGAGACTCACTGTTTGGTCAAGCTGGTTTTGAACTCACAGAGATCCACCTGCCTCTGCCTCCCGAGTGCTGGGATTAAAGGAATGCATCACCATGCCTGGCTGATTTCATGCATTTATTTTTAAAAATTCCTAAATCATATATGTGCATGTGAGTGCTGGTGATCACTAGGAGATGGAGCTGTCTTATGTGGGTGCTGAGAACTGAACTCAGGTCCCTCTGAGGAACAACAGTTCATATTCTTAATCGTTCCTACCTCTCCAGCTCCTATAGAAGCTTTCTAGTCTCATGCAATCCCATGTCAGTTCCTGGGGTTATCTAATAGGGTATCGTATATTATTTGGGGGAGACATTTACCTGAGTATGCCTATGCATCACGTGCATTCAACTGGGGCGCAAAAGATTGCGTATTTGAATCCCAGGATTGGAGTTAAAGGCAGTTGTGAGTTGCCGTGTGGGTTCTAGAAATGGGAACCTGGTTGTCTGCAAGAGTAGACAGTGCTCTTACGAGCTGACCCATCTCTCCAGCCCCTATTTTTTTACTTTTGAAGATATCAATGGATTTTCTTATGATTTTTTCCCTCTGTGTGTCTGCTATTGGCATATAAGGAGAATATTAGTTTTTGTATGTTGACTTAACCTTCTATTACTTTACTAAAATTTGTATCAGATGTAATAATTAAGAAAAAATACTTGGGGCTGGAGAGATGATCAGAAGTTCAGAATACTTGCTGCTCTTCCAGAGGACCCAGATTCAATTCCCAGCATCCACAGGGCAGCTCACAACCATCTGTGTAATTCTAGTTCCAGGAGATCCAACTCGCTCTTCTGGCCTCTGTAGGTACTGCCTGCACATGTTCACACACACACACACACACATACACACACACACACACACACACACACACACACACACACACACGGATAAAATTTTTTAATTTTTAAATAAAAAGAAAGAGAAAAACCTTGAAGATTCTGAGTTGTTTGGTTACTAGGAATTAGAAGCGCTGGCTGCATTTGGGAGCTTTGGGTGCACAGTAGCCTTGTGAGAACAGAGTGGGCTCTGGACCAGGTGGCCTAAC